AGCTCCTCACTGGGATCATTAGTGCTGCAGACTGAATGAAACAGTAGAGTAGTAGTAATAAGAGCTGAAGCTTTTGGTGGGACAGGGGCCTAACCCATAGGCGAGCCCCAGTCCTGCGTGGAGATCTCGGGTGATGGGGAGTACAGCTGACCCCAGACCTTCGAGGTACGCGGATCTCTTCATCGATCCCCAAGCCAATCCGTTTGGAACCGACCCCCTAGTCCGGAAGAACGCCTACCGGGGGATCTACCAGCGATTTAGCAGTATCGGCCCAGCCCCCCTCATCGCTTCAAGGCTATTGGACCACGTGCTAAACCTCTTTGAGGCCAAGGCCGTAGGAGGAATAGGGATCTTTGTCAATGACACCTCGCATCTGCCTCAACTGCGCGTGATCCACGGAATCCGTAAGTATCCTGGAAGCTTGATCGAACATTCCAGTAACGCCAACAAGGTGTTTGGGTACCTTGACGATGTAGTATCAGGGAGAGGGGAGCTAGTCCAGGTCACGGCAAACATGTTCGCACTCACCAACGCAGTAAGAGTACTCCCAGAACAGCAACATCGAGTGGAGTTAGAAGGTAACCCGGACCTACAGTTTACAGGGCCTCTAACAAGTGAAGCCAACCCCCAGTCTGTAAAGCTGCAGTGCCGACACACACTTTTCATACCCTTTGAACTAATGCCACACGTGCTGGGGAAGAGACTCACACCGAGAGCCGCCTATTTCATCATCCAGCCGTGGCTCGACGCCACGGGGCTCAGCGACGTTGCAGAGCCCCTCCTAACTGCACTCCGCATTGGCAGTACCCAAGTACTAAACACCACGCCGGGGGGCGGAGCCGTATGTGAAATCTCTGCCACGGAACCAGGGCCCCTATTCCGGGCAGAGGCCAACCTCACTCTGTACATGGAAGAAAAGGTGTTGCACAGGGACTTGCCGGGCCTGGTATCCGTGCCGTCATTAGTTGGCCCGGAAACAGCAGCCTTAACTGCTGCAGTATCCACACTAACTGATACCCACTTAAGAGCGACCCAAGCAAGCGAACAACGTCGCGTGGAGGATGCTAAGCCAGCCACACTCGAGGAAGTCTTCGGCTCACTAAATGCCCACCGTTTAAAGACACTCTGCGCCGGGAGCCAAGCGGAAGATCTGCCCCCAGTATATACAGCCTGGACAAGCAAGAAGAAGGGGGAGAAGCTGCATGCACTGTTTCAGAGCCACGTGGACCAAAGCGCCCGCGAGCTGGGGCTACAGCCCCCCTTCGTCCCCCTGGCAGCCCTCAAGAGCTTTCAAGCCTTCCGCTTCTACGGGATAGATGAATGTGAATTAGGGGATGGAATACTCCCCATGGCATTTGCCCCACCGGGTGGGTCACCTACAGCCAGGAAACAGCAACTGGAAGAGGCTACAGCAGCTGCAGCTTATGATACGATGGTCTCCACAGAAGGCAACTCTATATCTTTCCGTGACGCCACTACATTGGGAAAGGCAAAGGGATATATCCCTGTGGACTGGACCGAAGCCCTGTTACAACTGGAAGGTTATCTTCCCGTCCTTGCCACACTAATAGGCACCGATCATCCCTTGGTTCGAAACTATCTAAGCGGACTCGATCGACTAAAACGGATACAGCTTGCACTGAGACATGCACTTAAAGATGAGTGTGGGAATAGGCTAGCCCCCGCAATACTCGTATACTACTTCCAGATACGAGTACGATGCTGGTTAGAAGACCAATGGGACAGTGACAACCCAGTGGAAGCCCCTAGCTTTACACAAGAATTCCGCACCTTTAAGCTATCCCGAAACTTGAACTGGTTACCGGGGATATCAGATATCCCAGCACTACAGGGATTGAGGAAGCCCGCAACACCAGCACCGAGTGCGAGGACTCCCACACGAGGGGGGACCAGTGCCGCCAAAGGGAGGAGCGGGCAAAGCGGGCCCTCCTCCAATAATACTAACAATACCAATCCGCAAACGAGGGTTGAGAACCCGAACCAAGACCATAGGATCGTGGCCGCAGAAGGAGAGCTTAGAACACGGCTCAAGAACTGGAAGATTGCCAAGGCTATGAGCAGCATGAAGGCCAAAGGGAAGGGGCCCTGCCTCAGGAATGACGGCAAAGAAATGTGCCATTCCTGGCGAGCTAAAGGTTTCTGTTACGACGGCTGCAGACTAGGGTATGATCACGTGGAGTCGACAGCGGAAGAAGACAACCGCTTCTGGTCTTGGTGCCAGGAAGCTTACACCAACACAGACCAATGAAGAGGGGGCAGGCAGCCTGCTCCTTATCGCGCAGCTGCTGTGCCACTGCCCCCACTTAAACGTCAGAGGAGGCGGGTGCAGGATACAGCAGCAGACTGGGAAATGACTCACTCCCCYSTAGAACTAGGTAAGCAGTRTACGCGAGAGCATTTMCCACATAATCGTAAGAGGAGACAGGAGCCCGTTCCTGACGTCTCCCCCAACACCAATAGCCAGATACCAGAGGAGAGCCGAGACTACGCTGGTCCTGGTACTGAACATCGTAGGGACGCCGGAGGCCAACGAGAGCCTGCGGACAGCCCCTGGGAGCCTGAATACACGGGGGTCGAGTCCCCCAGGGCCCCCAATACAACAACCAGAGCCCGGCAAGGACAGCCCCTTCCTACCACGTATCCATACGACTGGCTCGATGCTCATGTCGCCAAAGCTGTAAAGGCCTTTCACCAAGCAGGCAGCTGGGGAGATTTCATTCGATCAGTTAGGGGACGGGGGGACCTCCATCAGGACGTAGGAAAGCTACCACATCCGGCAGCTCCTCTCCTACACAGTTTCCAGCAAGAGGGAACACCAGCTACGATGACGTCACCACCCTGGGGAGCAGCCCGTATAGCAGGAGCCTTAGCCCGGGGGCCACACAAGTCATCCCACAACGGAATAGAATTCCTTCGAGAGGAGTATGCAGATATGATGGATAAGCAACAATGGACTGTCTTACCCGCCACGTTAGTGACCGGAATCCCAGGGCTCCGATTGAGCCCACTGGGTCTCGTGCCACAGCGAGGGAGGAGGGACCGAATGATCTCTGATTACAGTTACTTTGGGGTGAACGCGGAAACGGCCACCTTAGCCCCCACTGAAGCAATGCAATTCGGCCGAGCTCTGAAACGCCTCCTCCAGCGAATCCACAGTGCCAGTAGTAGGTTTGGGCCAGTGTATCTGTCAAAGATAGACCTGTCCGATGGTTTCTACAGACTCTGGGTGAAACCAGAGGACACACTTAGCTTAGCAGTGCTGTTCCCACAACGGGAAGGGGAACAGCCCCTAGTAGGAATTCCTCTCACGAATCCCATGGGCTGGTGCTCATCACCACCCAACTTTAGCGCCTGCACAGAGACAGTAGCAGACCTCGCCAACGGCATCCTTTTAAAGGAGGGACTGGGAAGGATGAGAAGATCACCACACCGACTTGACGACATCTCCGAGACTCCGCCCGAGGAGGTCGAGGCCAGCCCCCAGTCACCGCCGACGAAGAGCCAAGTCAGGGAGGCAAGCTTTCCAGCTCGGAAGCCCTTGCGCTACTGGGACATCTATGTGGATGATTTCTGTGGATTGGTCCAAGGGAACCAATGGACCCGACGAGCAGTGAAAAGGACCCTGCTCCACTCCCTGGACGGAGTATTCCGGCCTCTGGACAGGCAGGACACTCCTTACCGACAGGAGCCTGCCTCCATCAAGAAGCTTAAGAAGGGGGATGCCACGTGGACAACCTCAAAAGTAATACTGGGATGGCTTATTGACACCACAAATAAGACAATTAGCCTGCCCCCCCACCGGGTGGCAAGACTGCAGGAACTGCTTCATTCCATTCAGCCCCACCAGAAGTATGCGACTGTGGGAGACTGGCACAAGTTACTCGGGGAGTTGAGATCCATGTCCCTAGCCTTACCGGGTTCCCTGGGACTGTTCTCCATGCTGCAAGAAGCATTCCGACACCAAGAGAAGGGCCGCAACAGACTCCGTCTCACTCGTGCCCTCCATGGCTTCCTGCAAGACTTTCGATGGCTAGCCCAGGACATAGCGAGCCGACCGACTCGGATCGCTGAGCTGGTACCAGATCTCTGGCCAGCCACCATTGGTGCTTGTGATGCCGCTGGTGCGGGAATGGGAGGAGTGCATTTCCTCCCCATGCCAGATGGCAGAATACAGCCACTGTTCTGGAGAGCCCCATTTCCAGCATGGATCCGCCGTGACTTGGTCTCCTTTGCCAATCCAGAGGGGACAATTACCAATAGTGAACTGGAACTGGCAGGGTCTATAGCCCACATTGATATCCTGGCTCAAGCTGCCGATATTGGGGAACGCACCGTACACAACCTTTACGATAACACGGCTACAGTACATTGGCAGAGGAAGGGAGCAGCTACGACCACGGGACCGGTAGCATACCTCCTCCGACTGCAGTCCCTCCACCAAAGGCTCTTCCGATATGTACCAAGACACGATTACATACCAGGACCAGCCAACGTTATGGCGGATATCCTTTCCCGGGCCTGGCACCTCTCAGACTCACAGTTGCTTGCCTATTTCAACCGTTCTTTCCCTCAGAGCATGCACTGGCAAAGCTGCCGGCTCAGGAAGCCGATGTATTCCGCACTGACCTTGTCCTTGTCCAAACGGAGATGCGAGCCAGTGTTACTGAAGGCTATTCCAAGAAAAAGGATGCCCATTGGGAATGCTGGCTTCACTACTGCGTGTCACACGAGTTGGACCCATTCCTCCGCACTACCAAAGACCCAGTCCCATACTTGCAAGTCTTTGGAGCCCGGTATCAAGATGGAAGATTGTCCCCCAGCGGCAAGCGTGCACGAGCTCATACAGTATGTGACGCCATCCGTTCAGTGGGCCAGAAGATCACCCGCATGGGGGCCCAAGATCCCCGACTCAACCAGTTTGGTGCAATAGACTACCGGCTCACCTCCCAGTTGCGAGCCTATCGCAAACGCGACAGCCCACCAGCTCGAGTGAAGCCTGTCCCTATCACCATCGTCATACACGCACTCAACTTTGCCTATCACCACAGTCCTACACCAGAACGCCAGGCTGTCGCTAACATGATCTGCATCGCGTTCTTCTTCTGTCTAAGACCGGGGGAATACACGGGAACCACATCGGATGATCAAGCTTTCTCCCTCAATGACATCACCTTCTTTGTGGGAGCTCGACGGCTGTCCTCCGAAACGGCCTCCGACACAGATATCAGTGCCGCCACTTCAATCCAACTTACTTTCACCACACAGAAAAACGGAATCAAAGGGGATGTTATTGCGCATGCTCGCAGCACCGATCCCCTGTGCTGTCCAGTGACCGCAGTTATCCGGCAATTCCTTCTGCATCGGCACCACTCAACCACCTTCAATGGTTTGGTCAAACTGGCTAGTTTCTACGACGCCAACAGCGGAACCAACATACGAATCACATCCAAGATGATCACAACGACAATGCGATGGCATGCGGCCATCTTGCAACACACCACTGGCATTAACCCAGCCTCCCTCAGCGCTCGCTCTTTGCGGGCTGGAGGGGCCATGGCCCTTCTCCAGGGCCAATGTGACTCCAACGTCATCAAACTCCTCGCTCGGTGGCACAGCGATGCCATGATGCGCTACCTCCACCAACAATCGGTCCCATTATTCCGGAACCTTGCCTCCCTCATGTTCAACAATGGCACCTACAGCTTCCTCCCCGAAGAATCAGTCCCCTCAGCTGCGTAGTGCCCTGCGCTCTGCCGAGAGCTCCGCCTGGCGGGCCCTCAGCGCAACGCCCACAGCGCACCGCTCCGGCGCCTCCCACCACGCTTTGCTCCCACCCTTTGGCCGGTGGCCCCTTGGCAGCAGCTAGTAGTTACACAGTATGCGTGTGCTGGTGGTGTAGGATCAGCAGGCTCAAGGATGCTGCGGCTCCCCCTCCCCTCCAAGCCTTAACCCTAACGGGAGAAGGCCCTACACGTGGAAGAGGGTTGGGGTTGCTGCAGT